AGTCTAAAATTGCTGCTGAGTATTATGTTAAGAGGGCTTCCTCTGTGCCAGTCACAGATTTATGTGAAAATAATCCACAATGCTCTGCTGCAAGAGATTTAGTGATGGAAATAAAGTCCAGCTCAAGTCAGATTTTTCCGTTTCCCATTTCCAGAATTTCGATGCTTCTTTATGTTTCCTGCTTTCTAACAATGAAAATCAACAAAAAATCTGATGTAAACTCACTTTTGATCTGGCCAGCCCCTAATGACTTGCTCATTGACACGTTTAGGTGTAAAGTCTGAGTCCCACAGATGGTTCAGCACTTTAACTTGTGAAACCTGAACAAACTAAACCGATGATGAAAGGTTGGAGATTCCTATCAGGTTGTGTCCTGATGAACCAAGGACAATGATCGATGATCAGTGACCGCTGATTTGGTTCTTTTATCTGTTTGTTAGACCTTTTCTTGGCCAACCTTTCTTTTCTTTTCTTTGCTTTAATCCCCAGATGTCCTGAGTATTTCCTGCTAATTTTGTTCTTTATCCATTTTCATGTGGCCATACTTGATTTCCCTTCAATAAACGATGGATTGGAACCCATTTCCCTCGCAGATGGATCACTTTTCCATGATAGTGGAAGTTTTCTGACAGTTCTCCTAATTTTTTTGTATTCAGTTCCTCTTCAGGAAGAACTCCCACACGCAGTAGTCCAGTGGATCGCATTCTGGGTCTTGTGGTGACACTTATCCTTTTTTATGAAATCATGAACCACATTGGAGCGTTGTTGTGTTCCGCAACTTCTTCGAGGTGTTTCTCTTCCTGGAATGTAATGTCCCTGTCAGAATAAAAACGTGTCAGTCAGGGTGAAGTCTGTGAACATGGTGTTCAGTTGACAGTCAGACAAGACCTGGAGCGACATTACAGCTGATATTATCAAGAAATAAATTCAGTATGCGGAAACAGGAAATCTATGAAAATGTTTTTGAACTAGCTGATATTAGAGTCCGACCCATTTATTCCATAAGCCAAACCTTGTGATGTAAAGGTGTTACACAAATCTCCTTGCAATGTCAGCTTAATGACCAATGCCACTCATTTTTTAATACATTTGGAGTGGTCTTTAGTATAAATTAATGCCTTTTGAGTCTTTCTCTGTGGGGAAATACTCTGGCGCTCCTATTTCAGGAACTAGAAGGGAGCCAGAGGATAAATGAGTGGAACACGGCAGGATTTAAAGCCTTATTTCCTGATATTTGTACATCTTGACTCTGATTGGCTAATAGCAACGTGATTCTACCACTGACCCTGTTTGCTCTGCAATGTTGATGTTTTATCTTTACAAATAACACAAGCCTGAAGCAGTTCTGCTGTGTGGTGGAGTTGCTAATGCTAATGGTTAGCTTGTACTATCAGAGACGCTCTCTGCTGTTTCCTGGACTCTAAATGAACAACAGCCTGTTACAAGCCAAGATGGGTGATTTCATGAATACTAATTTGAGAATGTGACGTACATCTGACTGTTTATTCTAATCCAAGCATTTCATTGTCTATATTCTGTTGGCAGCTTATGCCGGAAATAGGGGTAGAAAACAATTTTTTCGATTAGCCTTCATGTGAAACTCTTGAGTGATCGATCATTTTTCAAAAACAAAAAGTACAAAAATGGTTTCTCAGTGAATCTGGTCTTTAAAATAGTACTCTTGGGTATAAAAATAAATCCTACCAAATTACAGGATGAAACCTGCAACCTTTGCGATTACTAGACAACTCGCTCTACCTCCTGACCTGCTGCTGTCCCTATCTTCAAAATTACATAAACTCACCAACATGAAGTTATTGATACGTTTATCTGTGGTTTGATAATGTTTTGCTGTTGTAGGTGTGAAAACTACAAAGAGCATCAATACTTAAATCAGTTTCTTGTGACCTTAAACCTCGTTCTGCAGAGACTCATGTTTAACACCTCATCTCCATTTAGCTGGAAGGTCATTGATTTGCGAAGGAAAAGTTTTTTTTTCTCTCGTTCTTTTGGTTTTGACAGCGATTTTATTGCCCTGTAGAATGTACAGTTGATCCACCAGGTTGACTTGCAGTCATGTCTTATTTGGCCCTAAACCCAAACTAGCCTGGTGTTTACAGGACTGGCCTGCATACAACACTTCCGTTTAAAGATACAGTGACAGTTCTCAGATGAAGCTGATGCACTTTGACAGATTTATAATCTTCCCAAATGCAACAGATGATGTGATCCTGAGATGGAGCATCTCTATTAGCTGTTATTGGTTGAAAGGACGCCCTGCACTAGGGGTGTAGGAAAATATTGATGCATTGAAATATTACGATATAATACATGTTATGATACTGAATCAGTATTTAAAAGCAGTGTACCATTTTTAATTAAGAATTTACTTGCAAACATTTACTATTTTTGTTTGACTCCGACTGCAAGGTGGCAGCAGTTTGTACTGTCCTCAGTCTGGTGCAACACTGGATGTGTCCTGGACGTGTCTGGCCTGAGTTTTCTAATTAAATTCAGTCTTAAAAATTACTATCACAGTATATTGTATTGTCACCCCTCTGTTTTGATATCATACTCCAACAGCAGCTGAGTAGGGCTGAACGATCTATCGTTTTTGGACCAAAATTGCGATTTCAAACAGCACGATCATGTGACCGTCATAGCTGCCGTTTTAGCGGATTTGACTGATCTAGGATCAGTTGTGTAACATTTTTTTACATCCGGGTTTTTCCCCCTGCGTTATGGGGGCGGCAAAAGCCAATGTGGGGGAGGGGGTGGGGTGTACCGTCCAGAGCCCAACTTCACAGCTGACAGAGCTGCATGTTCAGGTTATTTTCCTTGTTTTATGTTCCCACACAGCGCTGCTAGAGCCAATAATAATAGCACCGTAGCTTAGCCCGGGACAGAGAGAGAGAGAACGTTGTTGAGTAAAAGAGAGTGAGACTCCTCCCACATCAGAGCAGGATCAGGCTGATTTCTAAAGCTTGGTTTATGCTTCATCAGCACGAGTGCGGAGTCGCGCACTTTATTTGACTCGAAAGCTCAACTTCTCTTTTAAAAATGGTTTGAATGTTTCTGGTGGCATACGTTAGTTCAAACAAGCTAAGGTGTCAGAATGCGTGCGTCTCTCTCACGGAACTGACGTTTCAGTGAGGTAAAACTACCAGACGGCTTCGAAAAACATGCAGCCAGCCTGCCTTGGTAATGCAGGGAAAACTGTGCATTTTTTATTTAATACATTTAAAAGCTATTTCTACCTACAGATTTCCACCTTGCATTTTTGGAGTAGAAATTGTTTCGATAAAGCTCCTCTCTAGATAAACATCCCAAGCACAAGATGTTCACAAACACATTAAATAATAAAAAAGATAATAATGGGAGAAAATAATAATAGCTTTAACTGTTCTTATTGTATGATTAAATATCAAATATTAATGTGAATGATCTGTTGTACTAGATTAGAATCTAGACCATCTTTTCACTTAATCTACAGGATGGCTTAGCAGGCTAATGTTGGACCTTTATTTGCAGAAAATCGTGAATTGAACCAAAATCGCAATTTCTGCTAGAAAAATTGCAATTCAGTCCTTTCCTAAAATCGTTCAGCCCTACAGCTGAGTTACTTTCTGCCTTAGATTTTCCTGACACGCTCACTACACAGGGGACATTTCTACTATTCTACAAGTTGTGTCTCATAATGGTAAGTGGGCTGTGTTTGATATAGCGCCTTCTAGAGTCCTGGAACCCCCCAAGGCACTTTACATCAAATCCTGGTGGTGATGAGCTACATTGTAGCCACAGCTGCCCTGGGGCTCACTGACAAGAGGCGAGGCTGCCGTACACAGGCACCACCAGTCCCTCGGACCACCACCAGCTGGCAAGGTGGGTTACGTGTCTTGCCCAAGGACACAATAACAGCGGCAGACTGAACGGGGCTCAAACCTGTAACCTTCCATTACGGGGCAAGCACTTAACTCCTGTGCCACCATCACCCTATAATCTTACCCTCAGATCTGTCATGTTATGATGTTGAATTAGAGCAGAAGCAGCAGAGTCTGATGTGTAATATGCGCATAAAATGTAAACGTTGTCATTGAAAGAGAAACAACAGTACCAATAATTTTTGATATTACACATCGGCAGATTTTTTTTCTTTAAGCAAAGTTGCCTTTTTTTGTTTTCTTTTTCTTTTCCCCTAATTACAAAGAAAATCTCTGGTTTAGGTTATAAATATATGATCAAAGAGTGCACGGGGGTCAAGTATGGTCACATCTAAAGGTCTAATCCGTAGTGTCTACTTAAAGGCTGTAAAGACTAGGTTTGTTCTTTCTAATTTCCTATTTGACCAAATAACAAAAATAATTACCTCTTTAGTATAATGTTGCTTATTCATTGGTAAAACTCTGCTAAGTGAGTTTTAGTAACAGTTGTGATGTCTGAACCTGCTCCACTCTGGTTAATTCTTTCCCACTTTGGGTTTGATTAGTTTGAGATTAGCTCACCTCCTACTGGCAAGTAAAAGTAAAAGTTGTTTTTTTACGTAAACGCTGTGAAAGCATGTGGCAGTAGTGGAGAACTGATGACTCATGTGTAACACAAGATTAAATAAAACGTAAAGCTGTTTTTACTGAGGAAACAACGTGTGACACTACGTTTCCTGTAGTGTGATGGTTCGATCAGGTTATTTTCGGCAGGTCTTAATAAATGTCACGGGATTGGTCTTTAGTTTTTGTGTTGGAGAACCTGTTGCTAAGCCTGCTGGTGGTGCAACTCAGCGGTATTAGTGGCTGATTGATGAAAATTATATAACAATTAGATGAATGTAACACTGGAGATTATCTGTGAGCATTTGGTCACATTAGCAACTAAACAAATAATACCATGTGCAGGAAAAACACATTATACTACACAATAATAAATACATAATTAGACATAACTATCTGGAAAAGAAAATTAGCTATTGTTTTATTTCTGATGTTTTTTTCTGTTTTGTGTTGCAGGAGGCGTGTTGTGCGTACGTGCTGATAGTGACAGCCGTGTACTGGGTGTCTGAGGCTGTTCCCTTAGGTGCTGCCGCTCTGGTCCCAGCCTTCCTCTACCCGCTCTTTGGTGTTCTCAAGTCAAGTGAGGTGAGTTGGTCCAAAAGGGGGTTCAGTCAATGAAGCTAACACAGCTAAGTGAACAAACCATCATTCAGCCCTCTAACTTCAAAATCAAGAAAAAAAAAACAATGAAATTGTTCTTTTTTTCTTTTTTTTTTTATTAATTTTTTTGGGGGGCTGCGCAGTGGCACAGTGGTTAGAGCCTTGCAGCTAGAAGGTCCTGGGTTCGCTTCCCGGCCTGGGATCTTTCTGTATGGAGTTTGCATGTTCTCCCTGTGCATGCGTGGGTTCTCTCCGGGTCCTCCAGCTTCCTCCCACAAACCAAAAACATGACTGTTAGGTTAATTGGTCTGTCTAAATTGTCCTTAGGTGTGTGTTTGTGTGTGTGCATTATTGTTTGTCCTGTGTGTCTCTGTGTTGCCCTGCAATGGACTGGCTCTCTGTCCAGGGTGTACCCTGCCTGATAGCCCTTTGACCGCTGGAGATAGGCACCAGCCCCCCCGCAACCCTACATGGACAAAGCGGGTTCAGACAATGGATGGATGGATGGATGTTTCATTTTTGCATGTTTGAATAATTTTACATTATTAATATTAAAGAGGATAGCGGAGGATCTTTTTCGTAGATCATCTGAACCATTGGTCTTGTGAACCATTCATGTGGAGTCTTACATGCTCGTTGCTGGCTAGTTTTCACTTTCTGCACTTGCAATAAGCAAAGGTTAGGCACCCCACAGACGCCTCTGTTGCCAGTTTTCTGCTCGACAGGTAAGCTAAAGTTTGGCATGCTGTTCAGAGAAATCAATTTCAGATTACTGCTAGAAGAAGTGAGCTGCAAGGCCAGCAGCTAGTTGTGAACAGAGCGTGCACGAGAATAACTGGGCGTTCTCTCTCGTGCACATTTTTTTCTAAACATGGAGAGGGCAGTTCTTCCCTGAAATTCTGAAACATCCTCCGCTATACCTTTAAGCTAACATAAAATCAAATTTTTTATTTAACACACCCAATAAGAGTGATGGAATATTTAATAAAAACTAAGGGATCTTGTGAAACAAATTTTAATTTACATTGATTACATTTAATTATTACCTAATAAATGAGACTCATATTTCAGGAGAAAAAAAATCTAAATGTGTTCTTTAGTTAGTTTTTTTTAATTTTTTTATTACTCAAACAAGTTTTATACACTGCATAGCCAAAATAAACCTCCCAACCCAAAGAAAAGGTCACACACACTAATATTTTGCTGGACCACCTTTTGCTTTTTTTTTTACAGAGCACATTCACTGTGGCATTGTTTCTATAAACTTCTACGTCACAAGATTTATTTCCATCCAGTGTTGCATTGATGTTTCACCAAGATCTTGCACTGATGATGGTAGAGTCTGACCGCTGCACAAAGCCTTCTCCAGCACATCCCAAAGTTTCTCAATGGGTTTAAGGTCTGGACTCTGTGGTGGCCAATCCATGTGTGAAAATGGTGTCTCATTCTTTCACTGTTTGAGCCCGATGAATTCAGGCATTGTCATCTTGGAATATGTCCATGCCATCAAGGAAGAAAAAAATCCATTGATTGAATAATCTGGTCATTCAGTATATTCAGATAGTCAGCTGACCTCATTCTTGGAGCACATCCTGTTGCTGAACCTAGACCTGACCAACTGCAACAACCCCAGATCATAGCATTGCCCCCACAGGCTTGTTCAGTAGGCACTAGACATGATGGGTGCATCACTTCATCTGCCTCTCTTCTTACCCTGATGCACCATCACTCTACCACCTCAACTGGCTCTTCTTGATGTGGAGGACCAGCAGTGTTACATCCTCTAATTGTGGAAAAGGGAAGGACAGGGAGTAACACAGATGCATGTGCTTCAGGTGTTAAAATTGTAAACAAGGTTTTTATTTTAGGATTGTAAAAAGACAAAAAGCTCCAAATCTAAAAGTACTTCAATCACATTGGTAAAATGGCCATGGGTTTACGTTTAAAACAGATATTGAAAAGCTCCCAAACATTCACAAAATAAAGTCCACTGACTGTACAAAAGTTTGGTAGCAAAGAGGAAGCCAGCTCACTGGTCCCTCATCTGTTAAAAATGTCTAAAAGCTCTTAAGCTTCACTAAGTCCAAACACAACTAAAACCCATTTAAAAGCCATTAAAACACAAAACAAATGGAGCAGGTGAGAGAACTGGCACATATCCAGTCTCTCCCTTCCTCCTGGCGGCTCTTCCTTTTATGTTGCTCAGGAGGTGATCAGTCCAAGTGAGTGCAGCTGTGCAGGTAGGAGGAGGAGGAGAAGCACTGATTGACATCTGCAGCTTCATATTTCTGGGACAAATAGCAACAGCTGTAACAAGCAGGTCTACTCCGAGCCCCTCCCGGATGACTGAGCTTCTCACCCTATCTCTTAGGGAAAGCCCAAACACCCTGCGGAGAAATTTTATTTTGGCCACTTGTATCTGCGATCTGATTCTTTTGGTCACTACCCAAAGCTCGTGACCATAGGTGAGGGTAGGAATGTAGATCAGCTCTCTCTTCACCACAGCAGACCGGTTCAACACCCCCATCACTACAGATTCAGCACCAATCTGCCTATCGATCTTGCACTCCATCTTTCCCTCACTCAAGAACAAGACCCCAAGATACTTAAACTCCTCCACTTGAGGCAGGACCTCATCCCTGACCCGAAGGCATTCGACCCTTTTCCAACTCAAGACCACGGCCTCTGATTTAGAGGAGCTGATTCTCATTCCAGCTGCTTCACACTCGGCTGTGAACTTCTCCAGTGAGAGCCGGAGATTATGTTCTGATGAGGCCAACAGGACCACGTCATCTGCAAAAAGCAGAGACCTGATCCTCAGGCCACCAAAACAGATCTCCTCAACACCTTGGCTGTGCCTAGAAATCCTGTCCTTAAAAGTTATGACAGAATCGGGGATAAAGGGCAGCCTTGGCGGAGTCCAACTCACACTGGAAACAAATCATCAGACCAGGTTATAATAATGCATTGGACAGTTCTTAACCCAATGTTAGCAGGTTCTGCAATCTCCTTGGATGCTTTCTCTGCTTGATGCATGCCAATGATCAAATGATCTAACCCTTCTCTAACAGACTTGCATCTTTTCCACTACCAGCAGATGTGTCTTTCCACGTGGTTGTTCAAGAAATGAGAAGCAGTTCATTGCACCAGTTGGGGTTAAATGACTTGTTGCCAGCAGAAAGATAATCGCCCATGCAGTAATTATCCAATAGGAGACTCGTGTCTATTTGCTTAGTTAAATCCAGGTGGCGACTTCATTTTTGGCCAGGCAGTGTATTTGAAAGAAGGATTTCCTCAGACTTTGCATCAAAATGACTTATTTTTGTTCTGATTTAGTTTTAATTCTGATCAGATTGAACATGTCAGTCTCTCCCACCTGTATAGTATAATCTCTTGCATTTTTGACACGGTATGTAAAGTACCCTAATTGTGACAGCCAACAATCTCTTCGGTAGGAATTTAAAGCGAAAACGTGAAAGGGAACTTCTTTGAGCAATGAACTTCCTGTTGGGTTCAGCAGCAGTGGGGAAAACCCAGAGAAATAGCTAGGATTACAGTCTGCTGACCAGACTTCTGTATATGTAAATGTACAGTGGAAAGAATTGAGGTGAATGAGTGTACTGTGTTCTGAACATTGTTCAGTACATTCCAAGAGTTCAGGTCTGAGTGTGTTTCTCAGATCTCTGCCAGCTTTCATGTGACTTTATGATACAGGTCAAAGTAGACCAGTTCATTAGGAACTGGAATATAAACTAGATATGAGTCAGAAGTTGATGGTGAGATTACTTTTTGCAAGAAAACCGCATTTTCATTGTATTGCAGTACGATAAAATTTACAAAACTTTAAAGAAGAAATAGATTTAAGTTGATTCACTATAAAAATAATAGATAGTAGCATATTTAGCTTAAAATGTCCAAAAACATTTTTCATACTTGACATAAATGGGGTTAAAACGTTGAGGAAAAAGTCATATTTATTTGAAAAAAGTTGGAAAAGTCAAAATATACTACCTTATACTATAAAACTACCGTTACTTCAGGGAAACTTACCGGAACTTCCTGTAATGAGCGTGTCTCCACTTCACCGAGCCGGCCGAAAGGCTGCTTTTGGGAATTTTCTGAGTACCGGTACCTGAAAATTACATCAGCAGACGCCGTTCAAAACAACCGACATTAGTGAAATCAGAAGAGTTCCTTGTGAAGCAGAATAGAAATACAAGCAAATAAGCACCAAGCATCCTGCTTTAAAATCGCCATTACTAAACTCCCAACACCAAAAACCATGGCAGAAGTCCCTCCAGACAGTGTAATTCACAGGGCTGTGTTGTTTGTTGGCGCTGGTCAGTGACATTACTCGCTGTCGAAGCAGCCGTGATATAGTGACGTCTGTGCAAAGTCGTGAAAGGGCAGAATTTGCATGGAGAAGCAACATCTGTGAGGACCAGGCCATCGTATCTCTGGGTCAGTTTCCCGCTCCCAGAAATTGCCCTGAAGTTCAGACAATGGAAATGCTTCATATGTCTAAAAGAAGTCATTTCAAACAGCTATTAGAATAGAACCACCTCTCGCATGCTAGGGAGAGCTGCTGCTTGAGGAGCAGCGGCTGTTCTCAAAATCTGTCTCGGATATCAGAGCTTCTCAGCTTATAGCAGCCTGAGTGTAAGAGGGGTAGGTGTGGCTTGCTCCAGCTTGTTATCTTAAAGTGACAGAGCCCTGAAGCGGCTCATTCTGGAAGGTACTGATACTGTCAAGAATAAAACTGCTGAAATCTCTTTATGTGAGAGGGATTTCGTACAAAGAACTTCATGAATATATTTGGTATCAACCATAGAACCATTATAACTTAAGAAAATAAGTCACAATATGACCCCTTTAAAGATTAACTGTCCAATATCCTTTATTTATTTATTTTTTCCCCTGGAGAAACCTTCATCGGTTAATAATGCATACCCAATTATGTAACCGCACAGCCACTGCAGTGCACAGTAACAACATAAAACAGTTCTGCTGGAGAAAATCCAGCTGGTTTTATTAGGTGAAAGGTGAGGCGATGTGGGCTTATACAACACTGGGGGCCACCATCGCTGCGGGTGGGAAGTGGAGCAGATTAAAAAGAACAAACAGAAAACTGTACGAGCTGATCCGAACACGGGAGGGCAGAATGAGTGAAAGGGAGAGACTCCCTCATGTCTTCTCCTGTTTGGGTTTAACCAAACATTTGAACTGATGGTTTTGTTTTATTTTATTTTTCTTTTTTTTTTTCATTTATTTAATTCAAAATAAAAACAAATAAAACATATAAACAATAAGAAATACATAACAAAAATCTAATTTGAATGAAAAGGAGCAGAATGAAGAAAAACATCTTATAATTTCTGCCCCCTTTTCCAGTAGAAATAATCAATTTATATGTAATTACCATTTGTCAGACACGCATACACATTCATTTTAAACTTTTTCCTGTTCTAAATTCCAGTGCGATCATGATCATTGATCTAATTTACATTTTCATAATTATTTAGTACACTCTATTTGGTACATTTTTTTGAATATATTAAATGACAGTTTTTTAAATTTCCCTTTTAAGGTTATTCTATAATTTAACACCATTTACAGATATATTCCACTCATTCATTTTAGTTCTAAATCTAGCTTTTGTAAACACATCAGTTTCTTTCAGCATGTAATTACTAGTTCTCTTTTCAAATATCCCCTGAATGTTTGTTGGCAGAGTACCTAAATTGGCTTTATACATGGTTTGTATGATTTTCCAGTCTTTTACATCATGAAATTTCAGTAATTTATATTTAATAAACAATGGGTTCGATGAATCTCTACAGCCACTATAATTGATGATTCTCAGAGCTCTTTCTATAAAATAAATAAGGGTTGTGTATAGTTTTTGTATGTTGCTCCCCAGATTTCTACACAATAAGTCAAGTATGGAACAATTAGTGAATTGTACAATGCCAACAAACCAGAATTAGTCAGTAAAAACTTGACTCTGTGTAATACTCCTAAGGATTTGGCAATTTTACCTTTTATGTAGCTAATATGGGATTTCCATGACATGTCTTCCATTGCTGTGGAATGTTTAGTCCTAAACCCATATTGTTCATTGTTTAAAATATTATTTTTTTCGACGAATTTATCCAAGCTTGATACAAATACTGTGCAAAATACAAAGCAGTGACACCGGCCTGTAATTATTGAAACTATGTTTATCACAACTCTTGTACAAAGGAATGACTTTCGCTGTTTTCATTGCATCAGGAAAATTTCCAGTAGAAAGTGATAGATTACAAATGTAAGTGAATGGTTCAATGACGGATTCTATGATGGTTTAACAGTTATCATGTCCAGATCCTGATAATAGGTTGATCTTTTGTTTCCACAGTTTTTTTTACAATGTTTCGTATTTCTTCTTTATCTACTTTGTCAAGGACAATACTATTGACAGTACTAATCATTGTGGTCAATTTATCTTCTATTATTGGTTTGTTCTCCATCAAACTCCTACCTACATTTCTTTATTATCATAAATTGGTTTGTTCTCCATCAAACTCCTACCTACATTTCTTTATCATCATAAATTGGTTTGTTCTCCATCAAACTCCTACCTACATTTCTTTATCATCATAAATTGGTTTGTTCTCCATCAAACTCCTACCTACATTTCTTTATCATCATAAATATCTTTTTCGTCCTTGACAAAGTGATTTGGAATACTGGATTTTGTTTTCTCTCTATTAGTCACACTGTTTATTATTCCCCAAGTAGCTTTTGTGTTATTTTTAATCTGATTCAATAGGTTACCATAATAATATTTTTTTTTTGCTTCCTAATTATTATTACCAATTTATTTTTATAATTGTTATATCTATCTTCTGCTTCCCTTGTTTGCAATTTTAAAAACTCCTATATAAACTATTATTTTTTGCACACGCATTCTTTAATCCCTTAGTCATCCAAGGTTGATTTTCCCTTTTAACTGTAGATTTGATTAATTTGCAGTCATCATTATATGACTTCAACAGTATTTTCATGAAGGACTTGTATGCAGCGTTGACGTCACTGACGTGTACCTCCTTCTGAGTTTGTTTATTAAGATCTTTGTTTAATGCCTCCATGGCTTTAACTGATTTATCTCCTCTGTAGTTCATGGTGTTTTGATGTATTCATGTGAGTTCAGGTGGCAGCAGAGTACTGTAAGGACACCACCCTGCTGCTGATGGGAGTCATCTGCCTGGCAGCCTCCATAGAGAAGTGGAACCTGCACAAGCGTATTGCTCTGCGCATGGTGATGATTGCAGGAGCGAAACCGGGCATGTCAGTGTACTGCTCATTAAAATCTGAATTATGCACCTAAAGCACAGAGAACTGAGAACACTGAAACATTTATGGTATGAGTGACCCCTTTTGTTCTGTTTCAGGTTGGTGCTGGGCTTCATGTGCTGCACTGTGTTCCTGTCTATGTGGCTCAGCAACACCTCCACCACTGCCATGGTGATGCCAATAGCCGAGGCTGTCCTACAGCAGCTCATCTGTACTGGTTTGGCCGACTGCCATGATGACTCAGAAACGGTAGACGCCCAAGAGGACGAAAGTGGTGCGTTTGGTTCTGAATGTCTTTGTACACATTAAAAAACATTTGGAACAGTGTTCACACCGGAATTCTTTTTATTTTATTCTTTCTAGTGATGCATTGATATGAAATTTTTGGGCCGATACCAATATCCGATATCAAGATCACTGTTATAGCCGATAACCGATAATTGCAGATACTGATATACTGACATTAATGCTTCTAAAATCAGCAGATTTTGTATAAAATGAAAATGATTAAAGCTGAATTTACGTTATTATGTACACACAACACACACATTGTTGCTTCTGAGATTATTACAATCACTGTCACGTGGCTAAACAAATACACATCACTCCCCTCACCCTCTGAAACAGATAAACAAATGGAGACAAGGTGGAAAAAATATCAGTTATTAATATTGGCCTGGTTTTATTTATTCGACCAATACCGATATTTTTTTACAATGACTAACATTGGCCTATACCGATATTGATGCTGATGTATTGTCCATCCCTAATTCTTTCATTATATTGCAATGACGACACTTTCTTCTTGCAGCTGTTTCAAGCAAAGATGAGACGCTGGACAAGAACCAGTTGGAACTCCTCTACCAGAACGATCAGTATGTGTCTAAGTTCTACTCTTCATTTCAGATTTCAGATTTTGCTCTGCTACCAATAAAATAAGCTTTGATTGCTTTCAGCTGCTCTCGGCAGATTCAGCATCATCACATACGCTGATGATATGCAGGTTTTTGTTTCTGTCCAAAAAACTATTTCATAGTGATTTGACTGTTTGTGGCAGGGGCAGACAACTCCCTGTTATCCAGCATGTTTTAGTTATTTTCTTGCTTAAACACACGTGATTTCAATCAGCAGGTATATCACAGGCGTCTGCAGAGCTTAGTGAGCTGCTCAGCAGGTGAATCAACTAAAACAGGCTGGCCCTCTACAAAGGGAGCTGTCCATCCCTGGTTTATAAAAAGCATTTTTTAGTGAAACACAAATGATTCTGCCATAAATGCTACAAAGATTTTGCAGCAGCATTAGACTTGCTCAAGAGCCAGAAATGATCTAATTCGACATTGTAGCTGGTAGGCAAGGTAAGGCGGCTTTATTTATATAGCACTTTTCATACACAGAGGCAATTCAATGTACTTTTCATTAGCAAGAACATTCAAATCAACATGACAGAAAATACAATTAAGAAAGAAAAAAAGAATAAAGTTAAAGGGTGAGCAAATACAGTGCAGAAGGTGCAGCATAAGAACATTTATTCAAAGGCTGATGAAAACATGAAGGTTTTCAATTTTGATTTAAAAGTTAGAGCTGGGGAACACATTTGGGGTCATGAGGAAGCTGATTCCATCTGTGTGCAACATAGTAGCTAAAAGCAGGTTCACCCTGTTTGGTTCTGACCCGAGGTTCTACCAGCTGGCCGCTTCCTAAGGATCTTGGAGCCCTGCTGGGCGTATATACCTGAAGGAGATCTGACATGTATTCTGGCCCCATGCCATTGAATGATTTATAAACTAGCAGTAGCACTTTGAAATAGATTCTGTAGTTTATTGGTAACCAGTGTAGAGATCTAAGAACATGAGTAATGTGCTCAGATCTCTTGGTTCTTGTTAAGACTCTAGCAGCAGCATTCTGAAGAAGCTACAGGTGCTTCACAGCATTTTTGGGAAGACCAGTCAAAAGACCATTGCAATAGTCCAGCCTGCTGTAAATGAACGCATGAATGAGTTTCTCTAGCTGGTCTTAATTATGCATGTTCCAGCCTTTTTACTATAATTTCATAATGATTCCCAACATTTTATGTTTTTAATCCCAGTTATGACATCTATTTGTGTCTAGTGTTGCTTTCAGTTTCACTGTACATGTGTATTGTGACAGTAAAGGCACTTGAATTATTTTAATCGGTAGAAAAGCACAAAAAGCAGTATACCCCCCTCCTCCAAATAAAAAAAGCACTGCATGCTAGTGACATGTACACACAATGATGCCAGGTGGATGCACCAGGTACACAGTGCATCTACCTGTTTCTCTTACTTTCAGATAGTTTAAAAGAAGTTGTGGTTTTGGAGCAATTGAAAGATGATGAAAAGAATAAACTAATAGATTTAACCAAACAGCTTCTTATGCAGTTTGGTTAAATCTGTGTGTACTACAAATATGTACTTAGAACAGTCAAAAATAATTTAACATGCAATTCTCTAGCAAATCTGGTTACAACACTTAATTTTAAGGGACACAGCCTTGTCTGTGAATAAATAAATGAATGCTTCTTTATTAATTTATTTTTATCCACATTGTGTGATTTTGAGCTTTATAAATAAACTTTAATCTGACAAAAATGTAGTCTATAAGTTACTATTGTTGCTGATTGTTGTCTTCTGCCTTTCGTCTCCTTTTTGCCCAGGAATGACAACACTAAACAGGATCTTTATTCACTAAGTGAGGTAAGACGTTGGCATTTTAGCAGGTAGATATTAAAAAAATGCACTATTTGAAGAAAATCCAAATTACTGGTGATCTAGTGTTTCTTTTAATCTTTGTTTGTTTTTTTTTATCTTAAGGGACAGATTGGTGAGGTGAATAGGTTGGGACTTCAGCCAGTCTTGAACAAGACGTTTGTCAGACAAACCAACGGACACTTGCCACAGGTTTGTAAAACATGATGCCCCTCTCAGGCCTCCTCTAATTATAGTGATGTTAATGCTGTTTGTTCTGGTTATTTCCTGTGTTAGTCTATGGTTAGGGTAGTCATTTTGACTACATGACATTGTCTATACTCAATTGAAAAGGGGGAAGTTGTTTTTGGGTCTGATGAGTTTGCCAAGTGTGAGGCAGAACAAGAGATCTTTGCCGTTTCAGTAGTGATAATAACGCTGTGATCACTCTACCAGGTTGCCATTGAAATCCCAAATGTGAAGAGGGTGAGAGCCAGAAGAGACTCCCAGTACCCCACCAAGAAGGATCACATGATCTGTAAATGCTTGTCGCTTAGCATCACGTATGCAGCGACCATCGGAGGGCTCATTACCATCACCGGCACATCAACCAACCTCATCTTTGCTGAACAGTTTAACACGTAGGTACACTTGGCTCAAAGCACTGTAATAATAAAAATGGTAAATGGCCTGTATTTGATATGGCAATCATTAATGATGCACTGATGCTGATAACAATTTCCTGTATTAATACTGCTGTAATGTAAAGAAGTAAAAAAAGTAAACAATCTTTTATATAAAGCACCTCTCAAGAGGCTTCACAAAAAACAAAAAAAGGTATAAAAAGTTTACAAAAATTATTAAAAATGTGTTTAAAGGAGGAAAAAATGTAAGAAAATGGAGAGAGAAAATGAATTGGAAAGAGGGATATCAATGGTTCCCGGGAAAAGCGGAATAAGAACAGAACAAGGAACGACGAAGGTCACGCCAAAGCCAGCTTGAACGGGTGAGACCACTGAGTCCACTGATCTCAGGCTCAGGGGGAGAGAGTACAACTTTGGTCTTTAGCCTGGTGCGCTGCACAACCAGTAGGCTTTGGTCACTGGACCTCATGGACCTGCTGGGCTGTAGGGACTGAGAAGATCACCAATATATGATGGTGCTTGTCCATGTAAGGCCCTATAGACCAGAACCAGGATTTTGAAATGAACCCTGAAGTTGACTGGCGGCCAGCGAAGCTGGAGGAGAAGTGGGGTGATGTGGGTGTGTTTGGAGGACTTGGTCAGAAGCCGAGCACAGGCATTCTGAACCACCTGTAGACGGTTCAGGGAGGTTCTGCTCAGACACGTGAAAAGAGAGTTACAGTAGTCTAAGCGTGAGGACATGAAGGTGTGGAGAACTGTCTCAAGTTCAGAGTGGGACAGAATGGGACTCAGCTTAGCAATGTTCCTGAGATGGAAGAAGGAAGAGCGAACAAGAGAACTGACATGAGAATCTAGGGTGAGAGCTGGGTCAAAGGTCACACCAAGATTCCTGACAGAGGCTTTGTTGCCAGGCCATCCATGTTCTAATGGAGTCTTAAGGTTGGTTTATGCTTGACGCGTCCGCGAGGTCCGCACTGCTCCGCGCGGAAAAGTTGCGTCATTTTGCCGTCATTTTAACAACCACGCCCCTCCACCACGTCTCCGCACGGCCCAAGATTTCCGCAACGCGCACCTTGGAAAATTTCTAACCACGCGGACGGTCGGACGCGGAAAAACATGGCAGACCGGCACGGCAGAGGTTCGTAAATACAGACATTTGTATGATTCAGCTCTCAGAGATCACCGTGATCAACATGTTGTTAATAATTCTTGGAGAGAAATAGCTCGCACTGTCGGAAAAGACGAGGACGCTGTTAAAAATGCTGGAATACCATGTTGTAAACAGTGATTTCTACTTCTACTATGGTGTAGTGTTGGATGTATGCTGTAGAGCTCCATGCTGCCCCGTTCAGTTTGGGAGAATATTGGCTCACCGCAGAGACGAGCCGCACAAACCATAAACGCTGCGAGTTGTGAAGCGCGTTCCAGCCGCGAGCCGCATCACCGCGCGGAAAGTGAATGCGTCAAGCATAAACCAAGCTTTAAGCAGGAGTGTAACAGCTGCAGCTTAGACATCTCATTGGGCTTAAAGGAGATGTACAGTTGGATGTCATCTGCATAGGAGATTCCTTCGAATCTTTAAGAAAAGACTGAATAGCTATTTTTCTAACTGATATTGTGATTTTAGTGTGATTCACCATTTTCTTAAAAATCAAGGTTCAACACATTATTCACAGTATACAGTAACGTTTAAAAACTTGACAGGAAATGACATCATACCATTAAAACTGCCACATTTTTCATGCTTGTTTGAATTACTGTAAGTTTGGCACTGTTTTGTGGTACAACAGTTTTTAAAAGAAGTGAAGTTGAGCTTTCAAGCTTACTTAGAGTTATTACCATAAATCCTATCTAGCTGCTGGAGATTCAGTCTCTGTCTCACACCCACCCACGGGGCTGAGTGTGAGACAGTACATAGGCGGTAGAGACAGACACCTACAGCCATTATTAATATTAGCTGTAGCTGCTTATTTTCAGATGCACATTTCACACACTGCAATCACGGTGGCCTGGCTGGAAGTTGTCACCGCGGTCACGGTGGTGGCTCGACCTCTGGTTATTTTGACAAACCAGTGTATAGATTCTTGTGGAACATCAAAGCTGAATGATTAAAATGTTTCAGTTCGGAATATCACTCAACTGTCACATGAACGTGATCGGTGTCAGCTGTAAAAGTTAAAATGTAGCCGGGTTTGAGTGTGACGTGTAAACAAATTCTGCCGCCATTCCTGGAGCCTAGTGGCCCAGTCAAGCACACGATTTAGCATTTTCAACTTGTTGCCCATGGTCCAGTGAGATACTAACCTCAGCTATTAAATATAGCCCTTTGAGTCACAGTGCCCCCCCAATAGGGGGCCAAACAAGTGTAGAGCCAAAGTCAGTGTCCAGTAGGCACCTCCTAGGGTCTGAGATCAAACTAATCAGCCTTCATGCTGCCAGCTGAAAGGATTTTCTGCCACTGCTGTTTTAAGCCTCACAGAATGGTCTTCTTCACGTTGTAGCCTGCTGGACAAAGGCCAGATGAGGGTTTCTGTGTGGGGGTGCTAGAATCCTTAAATAACGGGAAATACAGTCAAGCAGATGGTTGAAGAAGTAAATCTTTGCAACTTTTTTACTCGTGGCATTCAGCTCCATCTCAAATTGTGCGACTTCCTTGTAGAGAAAATCTCACGAGTCATGTGCTCACACTGAACAACCCGGTTCTCGATTGCGGCCTGACTGCTCCTACTGTACATCTGGTAGCAACACGTTTGCTAAAATTAGCTGATTTTAAACAACACGTCAGACTTTTTATTGTGTTGTTATTGATGTCTGTTGTCCCTCGGGATTGCTGTAGGAGGACGCACAGGGATTTATGGGGGTTGGAGGAGGAAGACGAAAGAAAGAAAGTAAATCAATGTTTTGTCAGGTTAATATGACATAAACATTCTTTCTTGACAGTCCTTGTCATTGTGTGCAAAATAAAGAGCATAAATAAAAACGAACAATGTGTGTTAATAGGGAAACGGATGGCGAGCCGTGCTGATGCATGTGCCGTGAGCGGTTCTGGTACTTTTTGGGTTGCAGCGTCGCTTCAACAGTGCGATACCCCCACGAGGGACAAGCAAAAAATCAAACACGCCAGAAATTTGTGAGGGCTCCCGATTGCTGATTGGGAGATGAGGTGTTAAACACCTCTCGTAACCCCGTGAATATTACACGGCGCACTACGCAAAACTCGCCCCTGATCTCGTAGATTCTCGCACAAGGAGAAAATTGGCTCAAAAATGTCAAAAGGTTGTATGGTGTCCGCCTGGCCTTAAAGTCACCTCCCTACCAGAGTCGAACTCCACCCACATTTCCTGAAAGGAGGCGTTGCCTGGCGAACTGAGCAGTGGCAGCTGGTGAAACAAAATCTTGGTGGGGCTATATGCGAAATATTTCCTTTCTTTGACCATAACAAGTATTAAAATGAACACTTTCCTCCACAAAACAAGCAGTTTTACTGATAGTCAGTTTAATAGAAAAATAATGGTAATACTCAAATTAATACACAAGCCTTTAATGTGAGCCTTTAAAAGATACTCCAGTGAAAAATTACATTTTTTGTATTTAATAACATTTTATTTTGTCCTCAGTCTTTTTGCCCATCTTGAGTTTTCAGTCTCCAACAGCCTGTGTGTCTTAATAAAGCATACTCTAAAGAAGGAGCAATATTGACGGGTTTTGGCTGAAATTAGAATTTTCAATAAATATTACATACTGTATGTCTACAGCACTATTGGACACTTGTTTATACAGTTTATCAGCCAAATAAAGTTAATTTGAGGGTGACTTGCTCTTTAAAGAGACAATGTGTACTTTTTACCATTAGTTTCTGGAAACATCCATCAAAGTGTTGCTGAAAATGAATGAAATGATGCCCAGTTGTTGAAAAATATTGGCAGTTTCATAACATATAACCATAAAAATCAGGCCTAAAATACATGGGAGTGGGTCTAAGGCTCTGGGCGATGCCATTTTAGATGCCATGTTTCCTTCTACGGGAGCCCTTGAAGACAAAATGCATTTACTGATTTGTAACAAATGGTTACAAAACTTTATCATTCTTAAATGTTTTGTTTTAGACATTTACCTCTTCACTTGTTTCCAGTGATGAAAGGGAGCGTGATGTGCTTGTTAGTTTGCTAAAGTTTGCCCTCCCCACGGCTTTTTGACCCTAACGGGCATCCGTTGGTAAGGTCTTACTCCAACACAGAAATACTGCTTGCTTGAAACAATTTAGGTATCTACTGCCCCTTATCGCCAGAAAAATCCATACTGTCACTTTAATGAAGACTCCTAGTGAAAGGTTCAGTGCTAAAGATTCTGATTCTCCAGTTTTAGGTCTGAAACTGTTACGTTTTGGTCCGTGAGGTTACTCCTCGTTGAATCTGCTTCAGTGTCCCTGGTTCTTTTGATCCCAGGTTTACCAAGCCACACTTTAACGTTGTCACAGATGAACTTAAAAAAAAAGATTGATTCAGTAGCATCAGTTAACTTAAAAAGCAGAGAGATGATACAGAGACTCAGGCCTGGATCCATCAGAGTACCACCCTAATAATTCAGAAGGATCCAAACCCTCCTATAGGCTCCTCCCACACAGTGGACGAGGTACAGCCTCTCATGTATAAGAGTGTGTGGCAGAGCAAGTAATCTCTGCAGAAATATTAGGGAAATGCCCGCTGGACCTATAATGATCTTGTTGATGATATTGATTAGGGATGTGTATTTTTGAAATTCTGGTGATACGATACATGTCACGATACAGGGGAGACGATACGGTATATCACGATATATTGCGATACATTCAGTCAGACGTTACAAGCAATTTTTTTAACTGAATTTATTGTAAGAATGTTCAATAAACAGTCCAAACTGATACGTAACATGTTTAACATGAGGTATCTGAACCATGATGGAGGGATTTACATTTCAGTGGTGGAAACAAAACCCGCTGCACACTGCTGCCAACTAGCGGGTGGCGATTGAATTGCACAAAACGAAAAGAAAATACACAAATGTTTGCATGTAAATTCTTTCAGGAATTAGATAAACGGCTTTTGAATATCGATGTAATAATCGCAGGAAAAAATATCATGATATATTGCCATATCGATATTTCCGATACACGGCTTTTGAATATCGATATAATATTGCTGGGAAAAATATCACGATATATTGCCATATCAATATTTTCTTACATCCCTAATATTGATCCTGTCTTTCCCTCCAGTCGATATCCGGATGCAAAGGTGATAAACTTTGGCACCTGGTTCATCTTCAGCTTCCCTATCGCCATCATCATGCTGGTCCTCACCTGGCTGTGGCTGCACTTCCTCTTCCTCGGCTGCAAGTGAGTTCATTTGAGGGTGGTTCAGTTCTGCTAGCGGTCACATCCAGGCGTGTTATTACTGTGGTTGCCTGCATCTACAGCCTATCATTACGGACTCATGATAATCCCTCCGGCTGCTTGGCGCTCTTTGGGATGATGTTGTTGTCGCTCTGTGCTCAGTTTCAGAGAAACTTGCTCGCTGAGTAAAAAACGCAAAACGAAGAGGGAGATGATGTCAGAGAGGAGGATCCAGGAGGAGTACGAAAAACTCGGACCTATCAGGTGTGTGAAGACCCCCCCCCCCCCACCTGCATCTGACTTGCTTAGGATGAAACTTATATTCAAGCTGCTTTAATCAATGAATTAAATAAAATTTCTCCGTATTCAAATATTACAGATATGAGAGAAAATTCCAGCAGTGATCTAATTATCTCCATGACACCCGTGTAACCTGCTTGCTGTGGTCTGTGTGTGTTTCAGCTACCCTGAGGTGGTGACGGGTGTTTTCTTCATCCTAATGACACTGCTGTGGTTCACCAGAGAGCCTGGCTTCGTACCCGGCTGGACGTCCCTCTTCGAAAAGTAAGCACTAGTGATGTAGTAACTAACTTGCTGATCAGTGGCGTTACCGTCTGCGGTGTGGTGACTCAGACCTCCAAAGCATTTTCCTCACATTGCCACCATGGATGAATTTTTTTCAGACTTAATGACATCTAAATAAGTCAAAGTAAGAGTTGTGTGTCTTTTTGTTAAATCTGTACATGACTGTTCTCACAGGAAGGGTTACAGAACTGATGCAACAGTATCAGTCCTTCTAGGCTTCCTGCTCTTCCTCATTCCTGCGAGGCGACCCTTCTCCTCCTCCTGCTCCTCCAGCTGTAAGAAGTCAGGTCAGTTTCTGTTAAACAGTTTGAGCTCTACAGCACACCAGACACCAACATTCTGCAGAAATCTGGACTTTTGTCTCTGACGCCACCACTATGGGAAAGCTAGGGGAAGCCTGGCTGCTCAAAAGGGTGGTGGGCTTCTCAGGAAGCCTTTAACTGACAAACCCATAATAAACGATCCTTCACAATAAGAGTTTCTAACATACACACATCCCCAACAACTGCACCATGCTGCTTAAAAATGTATTTAAATATTTTTGTTCTTTTAATCTACAGATGATGATGATGACTCTGATTCTGATCCACTTGCTCCTATGATCACCTGGAAGGACTTTCAGAGGCTGATGCCATGGGAGATCGTCATCCTGGTTGGGGGGGGTTACGCGCTTGCTGCCGGGTGCAAGGTAATGCACGTGCACGAACAAAGTTCATTTCTGTAGCACGTTTTAAAACAGCATGGCAGCTCAACAAAGATACAAAATACAACAATGATAAAAGTAGCATTAAAAAGTCAGACTGTGAGATACAATGATAAAATCAGCGTTCAAAAGCAAGATTAAAGTAAAGTAGACTTAAATGAGCTAGCAATGGGGCCTGTCTCACGTGCAGAAGCTCATTCCAGAGTTTCGGGGCGGTGTAAGAAAATGCTCGCTCCCCACAGGATTTATAATTCACTTGGGAACAGATATGAGCAGGTGATCAGGTAGCCTCGGTGACCGCTGTGGCAAAAATGGGTTGATGATAAGAAGGGGCCTGGATGGATGTGAAGAATTTTAGAAACAAAGACAAGGACCTAGAATTTGACACAGAAACGCATGAGGAGCCAATGCCAATCTTCCAGTACAGGAGTGATGTGAATGCATCTGTCCGTATTCGTCTGGAACCGAGGCGCGACATTCCGAACCTTTCAGAGGCGATTCATAGATGATTGTCGTAGTCCAGTCTAGAGGTTATGAATGCACGGATGACTCATCTAAGTGAGGCCTTTTCAGAATGGGTTTCAGACAAGTTAACCAGCATAGTTAGAAAAAACAGGACTTAACTGTGGCGTTCATCTGTGGAGTCATAGTTAATTTGGAGTCCAATTTGATCCCCAGGTTAGTGGCACAGGACTTGAGATTAAGAGGGAAGGATGTGAGACTGATGGATGTGGCGTGCTGGTTCGTAGGGGGAAACTGGATTGCGTCAGTTTTATCTTAAATGAACAGTGAGGGAGTCCTCAGGTGAGCCAGAGGGCTTCATCACCGAAAGAATGTTGCAAAGGTCATCAAGAGGAATGGGGTCGAAAGATGAAAAGTTCCTCCTGGCTGGCCAACCCCGTGGGTGTACCACTGCACACATGATGGTTGAGAGGGTGAGGTGAGAGCATGGAATTAATGTGTGTGTGTGTTGATATCAAAGATGTTTTGTGACAATGTCACGTAGTAATTATTCCTGGATGATCTAACAGTTTTCAGACAGTGAGTCCAGAAGTCCTTGAGTAAACGGAGAGATATTTGCAGCTTGTCCCTTTTCCAATTCTTCTAAAAGACCCAACACTGGCATCCAAGAGCTCTAGTTTCATCATTTATCCAGGGACCAGGCGAGGTCTTTTTACACATAAACCTGAGTTGTGCAACTTGTTCTTTTGGTGTAGAAGAAACTTCCTCTCTTAATAGCATCTGAGTGAAAGTTCCTAGAACTATCAGAACATTTATTTCTTAGATGCAACTTTTCATATTTAAACTGAAGAGTAAAAGGATTGTTGTACTAAAGTGGAAAACTAGTTGTGCATGAATGTGAGGGTGATGTTGTGTGTTTTAGGTATCGGGACTCTCTGTGTGGATCGGCAGACAGCTGGAGCCCATGAATGGACTTCCCCCCTGGGCCGTCACCCTGCTGGCCTGCCTGCTGGTGTCAGCGGTGACAGAGTTCGCCTCCAACCCTGCAACTCTTACCGTCTTCCTGCCCATCCTGTCAGCACTGGTACGATACTTTTCTTTACTTCATTTCCTGAAACATTTTGGGTTTTTGGAGATAAAAGCAACAAAATCTAATGCAAGGAAAATTCTTTGGATCCTTTGAGAACTACATTGTGTTGTTTGCACAGATTCATTTAGTGCTTTCTCCACTTTCTGTTTTGTGTAAAGATGAAAAACAGATTTTTGAAGAAATTGTGAATCTTCTTTCCTTGTGAAGGTTCTCGGTCATCTAGGTCATATTAATCCTTGTAGACTTAGAAAAAAAGTTATTTTTTCTTAAAAAATATTTTGCCTCTCATTTGAGGAGCTTTAGTAGTTCAAACAAATAAGTACTAAATACCCAACTCTTAAATAGTTGTGAGAGCTCCTTTAATGTGATCTAATGGTTCACTTGCTCAGAGTTTAGAGGTTGGAACCTCAGACCTTCTCTTCTATTAAAAGAAATACAACCTCTTATATTCTTCTTTTGAACCATATCTATTTTTTCGTTCTTTCGGGGACCCATGAGAAGGAGACAAGAGAGGAAACAAGCTTATTGAGTAAAATAAAATTACAAAAATGCTTTCTTGGAGAAAAATAACTAAAGATTAAGCACTTTTTAGCAAATAGCATGCTTGAAATACAAGTTTAAGTGATGGAGAGCAGAACCGCTTCACAAATAGGAAGTCTAATATGTCACTGTCGCCCCCTAGTGGCTTAGGTTAGTAAAGGAAATGTACATAAACACTTATAAATGCTAAAAAAAATAACATAAATTTGGAAGGAAAGTTAATATATCAAATATTAAGATACAAAAATAATTGACATTTATTTTTAGAAGTGCATTTGGCCCTCACAGTGTCTGCTGGGAAAACCCTGGCCCTTGACCAAATCTAACTGAAGACCCCTGCTTTAGATTCAGTCTGAGGGTGTTGTTGTGTTTAAAGTTCACCTGGTTGCTTTTGGAGAAACTTTCACCTCAGAAACTCCTGCCATGCATGAAATGAAAATCTTTTAGCCCTTTTTTTATTTGTGGGATTAAAAAAAAAGTCTAATTCAAAGGTTTTCATTTTGTTTGGATATTTTTTTAATTAAAAATCACATTTTGGTTTTATTTTGAAAGTGCTCCTTTTACTAAGTTGCATATATTTAATTTTCAGAAGATTGGACACTAGTCTGAATTTGCTTACTTGTGAGGACATTTAGCTTTCTTCGCCTAAGGAGAGATAAACTCCCAGCGTGTCCAAAGTGCCTGTGACTAAAATAAATGTAATAATGTAATGTTGGTGGCCAGCAAGTTCTTCCAACTTTGGATTTTGACCCACGGTTTAAAAGTCACCACAGCTCTGTGGTGTTGTAACGTGTGTGTTGGTAACATTTTAAAACTACACTCTGTCATTCCTATCTGTCCAGTCGGAGACGCTGCTCATCAACCCGCTCCACACACTGATCCCGTCCACCATGTGTGTGTCGTTTGGGGTCATGCTTCCAGTGGGGAACCCCCCCAACGCTATTGTCTTCAGCTACGGCCACGTGAAGATCAGCGACATGGTATATCACACACACACACACACACACACACACACACACACACACACACACACACACACACACACACACACACACACACACACTTGTCGATCCTAAATGATTTTGTGTGTTCTGTTTCTTCTCGTGCTCAGGTCAAAGCAGGTTTTGGAGTCAATCTGATCGGTGTGGCTGTGGTTATGTTGGCCATCACCACCTGGGGGGTTCCCCTCTTTAATCTGACTGAGTTCCCAGCCTGGGCAGTGGCCAGGAACGTCACCGGAAGTTTATAACCACCGTTGGATCTGGGGTGCGGGGTTCATTTAAAGACTGAAGGAAGGAAGGGTCCCTGTGATGATTAAAATCCAGCAAATTGATTCTTCCTCAGGATTAGACGGATGAAGCCAGCATAAAAAAGACAGAAGACGAAAGAAAAAGCTGGAAGAATTCCCTGTTGCTTCAATAGAATATCTAGGACTGGTCTGTTGGTGGTTCATACAAGCAATGGGGCAGGCCAACTGTTTTCAGTGAATCAATAAAAACTGTGTTTGCTACAAATTAAGAGCTGATATTGTTTCTGAATGTATGATCACACCTGCCTCAGAGCGCGTCAGTGGCCTGGGCTCATGAATTAAAGTAGTTCTGCTCCTTTTAAGAACATGTCGGGTAAAAGGTTCATATTTCACCTGGAGATGGCTCTTTAAGCCTCAGTTTGGAGAAACAGACATTCATTTGAACCGGTTTAATAAGCAAATGGCTTGTTTGATAGCTTTTGCACTTGCTTGAATTTTAAAGCATTATTTTTAAGGTTTTTAATGTTTTTGAAATTTTATTAAGTGCTGAAACGTACTTTGAATAATAAAATTAGATTTAGTTCAAAATATAATTTTGAGCTTATTTGCACCTTTTGTTCCGTCTGTAAATGATCACCACTGTACTCACCTTTATAAGTGCTTAATTGTGGCAAACATGGCTGCTGGCAGGTTGATAGGATGAGATCGAATCTGTTCTTCATAAACTGAGGCAAATAGCTATCTACAGCAGGTACAATGTTATTGAAAACCCCCCTTTTAGTTTTTTCTTCTAGTTTAACAGATACATGCGCATGCCTCTATGTACTGTACATGTGTGATGGTACCTTTCTTTATGTTCTGTATGTCTCGGTGTTGAAATCTTGTCCAACAATGTCCACTAATGTCTTTACCGGCTCCTAGCTTTGGATAATCAGGGTTTAAATAACAAATTATTTGAGCCAAAAGTTTCTTTAACTGATTTAGTGCCTACTATGCAGGGAGCTTTTTTCTTATTACCTCCTTTTTATTCCTATTATTTTCCATGATTATTGTGAGACTAACCCCATTAGCATATTACTGCCTTGCTGTAAGGCCACAAAAGTAAAGATCTTCTATTTATTTTCTGTTCTCCTAAATCTGGGAAGCGTTAGTTGCCAACTTGCTAAATGACTGTAAATATTACAAGTTAACCAGCAAGAATGTGACACATTTCCTGCTTTTTGAAGCAAACTTTCAGAACCAATCTGGTACCTTTTTGTATTTGTGCTATTTTTACAGTAGAGAACCTCCTAATTAGAATCAAGGCGGTTTCCCTCACTGATCAAATTATAATTTTTTTTTTACACATGTTATGAAGTGGTACCTACACCAAACAAAACTCTAAAAATAATTGTGTTTTTTACACAGAGATCTAAAATGTAGCAACATTGAACTTGGAAATTCAGCTCTGGCATGAAAGAGCCGAATCAAGATGGGGTATTACAAACCGTCTGATGGTGTCAGTACGGGACTGAACGTGCAATAGGCCAATCAACTGTCAAGTCACACTGATTCCTGTTAAAGAAAAGGTTTGTACCAAACCTCGTTTGGAGCAGAAATGTTAAAGACATACTTTATATTTTTACAGAAAATTACATGTAATTTTTTATATCACTGTATTAAAAGTTTAAACCGAATCAGTTTTTTAAATAAATATTGGTATTACCTGCAGTGACGTTTGACCCTAGGGCCACACTCCTTTGTAAATACACACAAGTTTGTAAGGTGCCTTTAGATGTCTGAAATGAGCTGTAACATTAAATCACGTTTTACCACAGGGTGACGTTCTTATTCTGCTGATACAAACTAGTTACAATAAACATGCACGTATGACAATAAAACCACCTCAATCACTGTTGATTTGATTTATTTACACACACACACACACACTACTCTTACTGTAGACAGTACAGTATAGTCTTCATGTCAGCTTGTTATACTGACAGTTATTCTGCTTTTGGGAACTTCATGTATATTTAACAGTTTTGAGAGGGAAAACTGACTGAGTGGCAGAGTAGTAATGAAATCCAACAAGTTTGTTTAGAAAAAGATGAGCAGATCATTTCAGGGAAGTGGGAAAAAAATCCTTTTGGATCCCCGAAGGCAACTCTCATCCCATCACACAAAGGTGTAGAAGAGGTCCACCAAAAGCTTCACTCTGAGAAAGTCTATGTGGAGCTTTCCTGCGGAGTCGTGGTTAGCTTTCTTTGGGTCCCTCGGCGGGTGTGAACCCTTCAGTCTGCATCTTTTCCTTGTATTTCAGGAAATCTCTCCTCTTGGTGAAATATTTCACCTGCCAGGGAAGAGATTAGGGAAACCAGTATTTATAATCATTCTCAAAAATATCTATTGACCATTCATTGCTTGAACAAAATATAAAAGGGTTTGAAATGGATATTTTACCCACTGAGCAGGGCACTTGGCCTCAAAGTCACTCTGGAACGTCTGACAGGATTCTACTCTTCCGCCGTTGTCGTCTAAACACTGCCAGAGCTTGTCCCTGGCGCTCCAGCAGATCTTCCTTTCCAAAGAGGTTGGAGCTGCCATCACTGCTCAATTCTGAGGAAAGACTAATGTTCTTAAAAAAACGATTCAAGCACTTAAAGAGCTCATTCACTCATATTTAATACATGTGCAGTGTTCTATAGTAGGAATGAAACTATTAATTAGCAGCCAAACAGTTTGCTGTAAAATCTCTGTTGTAACTCACCGATTGAAACCTCGTCGTCTCTCTGGCCGCTGCTTCTCTCTGTCATTCCATAAAGACACAAAAAACTAAATTAACTTCGCTAAAAACTAACAACAGCAGGAATTCTGTAACGTTTCACTGAGCTATGTGACAAGCACAACCTCAACAGCAAACACTTCCTAGTCGCATGTTGATGACGTTTGCGTGTGATTTCTATGTGTGATTTACATGTCCTGCCAGATGATGGCGCAGTTTAAAAAGAATAGAAAAAGAAACCGCACTGAAGCATGTTGTTTAAATCCAGTCTACTCAGTTTGGTTATAATTAAAATTAAAAAGAAGTTTTTATTTTTACAGACAAATAGTCATTTCAAATGGTAAAACAATCAGAGGGGAAGCTTTTGAGCTTAGTTAAATACATTTTTGTCTCATTTTTCATTTTTGTTTAGAATCAGCAATTAAGCACAAATGTAATATTTTTTATATAATTTTTTCAGATTGTTATTGTTATTTCTGTCACGACATTTAACAACTTCCTCAACGCATCAAATCAGTCAATAAAAACGTTATTCTGCTGCTTTACTACAGTAAATTTGAAATGAATTTCAAATGAAACAGTAAGGGTACCAAAAACACATTCAAAAGAAGTATTCTATCATTTGATACAAAAATTATTAAAAGTGGGTTTTCCCCCTTATCTAACTCTGGGAAATCTGTCAGACAAAATAAAAATTTTGGGTGGAATATCCCTTTAAAGTGATAGCGTGTATTTTCCTTGGCGATAGGGGCCAATATACCTAAATCATTGCAAGCAAGCATTATTTTTGTGTTCAAGTAAGACCTTACCAACAGATGGCCATTATGGTCAAAAGTCCTTGGGAGTGCAACCTCCAGCAAAATAACAACATCAGATTCCCTTTCATCACTTGCAATGAGTGAAGAGATAAATGTGTAAAAGAACGTAATGCTGAAAGTTTTGTAACCATTTGTTACAAATCAGAAAATGCATTCTGTCCTGATGTTTATGGTTATAGGGAGCCTAATTCACCCCCATCTACTTCTGGACCATGGGTCCCCAGAAGAACAAAAAAATTAATGCAAGTCAATGGGGCTAAAAACGCAATTTTCTAATTCAGCTTGTTATGTGCCATGGATTTCGCACATGATGTCCGTGAATTTTAAAGACACATTTTGATGCCAAGAACATGCTTATTTTCGAACGGGGGTGGTGGGGGTGGTGGTGGTGGGGGGGGGGGAGGGGGGTGGGGGGGGGGGTGCTAGTTTAGAAGATGCTCTCTGAAGAGCTGGGTCTTCAGGAGTTTCTTGAAAATTGAAAAGGAAGCTCCTGTTCTGGTAGTGCTTGGAAGATTATTCCACATTTGTGAAACACTGCATGAGAAGAGTCTGGATTGTCCTGAGCGTGGTGTAGGCACCGCTAGCCAACGATCCTGTGATGACCGGAGCAGCCGGGCTGAGACGTAAGCCTGTACAAGAGGATTCAGATAGATGGGAGCCGTACCATCTCAGACTTTGTATGCGAGTGTTAGCTATTTGAATTTGATGCGTGCTGCTAGCGGTAGCCAGTGGAGCTCAATGAACAAAGGGGTGACGTGTGCTCTTTTTGGCTGATTGAAGACCAGATGCGCCGCTGCATTCTGGACCATTTGAAGAGGTCTCACAGTACAGGCTGGAAGACCAGTTAGAAGGGCTTTGCAGTAATCGAAGTGGGAGATGACAGTAGATTGCACCAGGAGCTGGGTGGCATGTTGTGTTAGGTATGGTCTGATCTTTCGTATGTTATACAGCGCAAAGCGGCATGAACGAGCAACAGAGGCAACATGATCTTTAAAGGTCAGGTGTTCATCAATCACAACACCCAGATTTCGAACTGCCTTTGAAGGAGCCAGAGATAGGAAGTCATTCTGGATTGAGATATTGTGCTGTATGGATGGTTTTGCTGGGATGACAAGTAGTTCAGTTTTAGGAGGTTGAGTTGGAGATGGTGGGATTTCATCCATTTTGATATGCCAGAGAGACAGTTTGATATGCGTGCAGAGACAGTGTGGTTGTCCGGTGGAAATGACAGATAGAGCTGGGTGTCGTCTGCATAGCAGTGGCAGGAGAAGCCATGTGATCGAATGATCTCACCCAGTGAGGTGGTGTATATGGCAAAGAGAAGAGGTCCTAGTACAGAGCCCTGGGGTACTCCTGTGGCAAGATGGTGCATGGTAGCGGATTGTCCAAGCCAAGATACACTGAAAGATCGTCCTGTGAGGTACGATTTAAACCAGGCATGTGCTTTCTCTGTGATGCCCATGCTAGAGAGTGTGGACAAAAGGAAGCCATGGTTGACAGTGTCAAATGCAGCCGATAAGTCAAGCAGGATAAGCACTGAGGATTTGGCAGTCGCTCTAGCTTCTTTTAAGGATTTCGTCACTGCTAACAGAGCAGTTTCATTGGAGTGGCCCTTTTTGAACCCAGATTGGTAAGGGTCAAGCAGACAGTTTTGAGAGAGGTATTCTGTGATCTGCTTGAAAGCCACTCTTTCAATGATTTTGGACAGAAAAGGGAGGAGAGAGATAGGTCAGTAGTTCTCCACATGATTTGGAGGAAGAAATGTTTTTTTTTTTTAGCAGCGGTCTAACCTGAGCATGCTTGAGAGAGGTGGGGCATGTACAGGGTTTCAGTGAAGCGTTGATCACATGTGTGACTGCTGCGGCTACTGTAGGAGCAATAGCTTGGAGCAGCTTAGTCGGAATGGGATCAAGTGGGCATGTAGTAGGGCGGCTGCACATGAGAAGCTTGGACACACAATTCTCAGTGAGAGGGGAAAAAGAGGAAAATGAAGCAGTAGGGCTTGAGATGGTTGGGCTAGAAGGAGTTTGTGGTAGTGAATGTTCAGGGGTGGCCAGTTGAGTAAGCTGTTTGCTTATAGCTGCCTCTTTGTCAGTGAAGAATGAGGCAAAGGTGCCAGCTGATAGATTGTTGGTAGGAGGTGGAGATGGAGGGGCGAGCAGAGTTTTGAATGTTGAAAATAGTTTCTGAGAGGCAGTAGAGCTGAGAATTTTGTCAGTGTAGAAAGCTTTCTTTGCATCAGTGATGCTGGCAGAGAATGAGGACAGTAATTCATGAAATTTCAATTGATCACCAGGATCTTTTGTTTTGCGCCATTTCTGGTGCGTAGAGACCAGAGGGTATCATTTAGCCAAGAGTGCGACTGAGAGGATCTAGCAGGTCTAGTGGCTAAAGGGCACAAGTTATTAAGACAAGAGCAGAGTGTGGAGCAGAGTGACTCGGTGGCATCATTCACTTCATAAGCAGAGAATGTGCTGGGAGATGGAAGAGTGGAGGCAACAAGAGAGGAGAAGTAGTTGGGTGCCAAATTGCGGAGGTTGCGGCGGAATGAGACCATTGGGAAGGAAGCAGTGGACCTCCCTTGTAGAGTCATGCTGAAATGGATGAAGTAATGATCCGAAAGATGCAGCGGTGTGACAGAGATTGAGTCTATGGCACAGTTTCTGGTGAAAATGAGGTCAAGTGCTATTCCAGCTTTGTGAGTTGGAGGACTTTGTACTAGTTTTAGATCAAATGATGACATTAGTGATAGGAAGCCTGATGAGCTGGGATTGTCCAGGTGAATATTCATGTCTCCAAGGACCATTGTGGGACAGTCGTGCTCAGGAATGGAGGAGAGCAGGGTGTCGAGTTCATCAAGAAAGTCTACGAGTTGACCTGGTTGGCGATATATGACAACCATAAAGAAATTTTTCGGTACAGTTACCTGGATGGCATGGTATTCAAAGGAGCTGTATTTAGTGATGGGTAGCAACTGACCATATATCCATTTATTGGAAATTAACATGCCCGTTCCACCACCTCGGCCAGATGCACGTGAAGTGTGGGAGAAAGTGTGGTTAATTGAGAGAGCAGATGGGGTAGCATTGTCACATGGTTTGATCCAGGTCTCAGTGAGAGCCAATGCATCGAGTGACAGGTGGTTTGCATATGCGGTAATGAAGTCTGCTTTGTTTACAGCTGATTGGCAGTTCCAAAGTCCCATAGACAGGTGGGTGTCTACGGGGGGAATTGGTTGTAGCGAGCAGAGGTTTTGAAGGTTGCGAAAGCGGTTTGCTGTGTGTGACCTTCCTCTGAAGCCAGTGATCACAGGTAGAGGATAATGGCACACTTTGCAAGGTGTCAATGGAGCAGCGTCTGGGTCGAGTTTGTTTGCTCTGTGTACCTGCTCTGTGGACACACGCAGGTAGACACGTATGTCTTTACCCCGGAGTGTCTTACACCGGAGGGGCTGAGACACAAGGGCTGACGCTTCCGCTGATGCTTCAGTTATGCCACCAAACTTATGCTGTGCTACTAGTTGGAAACAGGTGTTCATGCAGCAGTTGATTGCAATGGTTGAGACCTAGAGCACCTGATGAGTGTTTTCAAGGAGAGGAGAAACAGCTCGTTCACAGCCCTGATTGCACTTATTGTTTTCAGTTGACCCAAACCGGAGCTACTAGACAACAGGATTACCCACAGATGAGTTTCCTTCTCTTTTCCCAATGGAAGATAATACAAAGCAAAAGTTTAAGAAGACAAAAACAGGCACTAACAGACACTCAAGGCCCTTCGGTGCAGATTCAAGTATAATAACATTCTTTTCCACTTGTAAGTCACTTTGGACAAAAGCGTCTGCTAAATACATAAACATAAACATTTCAAACTTCAGTAGTGGAAGCACAGATTAATCAACCTTATTAATTTAAGCAGGGGTGGCGTTAGGCCCGGCTACTTGGGCTCAAGCCCCGAATGTTTTATGAAAAGCCCCAGATCTAAAACGTGGAAGTAACATGCAGTACCAGAGTCCAACAGAGAGGGAGCAGCTGACTGTAGTTTGTATACAGCCTGCCTGAGCCTCCACCACTGAAGAAGAAGCCCTTCAGCAGCCGGCTTCTTCTGCAGTGCCTGGTTTCTTCTACACTCTGCCTGAAACGCATGAGTGAAGATGGACATAAGGACGTTTTTTAGACCAAAAGTACGGTGACAGAACCCCAGCTTTGATGACACTGGTGTTGACTCAGGTTTGTGAGTCTTATTTGAAAATATTTGTTGTGCTGCTGGTTTGCCTAAAGTTAGCTTATCAGGTAAAGTTGATGGAGAAAGAAAGGGAATATTTACTATCATCTCACACTA